AGAATGTATCAAGTCAACCAGCAACAACAGGACCCCAAAGCTTTGGTAGGTTTGCTGGGCAGCCCCTTATGTGGGAGTTGCCCTCCCTGTACCCTATGGCAGCAGAGCAGCTTCCTCCACAGCAGAAGCTCCAGCCGGGACAAGAGAACAACAAAACCTCTGATAAGAGCCAGATGAGGCCACGGAAAACAGGTATGAATCTAACCCACAGTCGCTAGGACTAGCAGGGCCAAATGAGTGCTATATTACAGGTAGGAGACATAGCACTAACAAGGCTCTGCTGTTCCTCCTTAGGGTGCCATATGATGGTGTTTAGGACATGGTTTCTGGGGCTGGCAAAGGCAGGGTTACAGATCCTCGGGTTTCTCCAGGGTGCTTTCAAACCCTTCTGTTCCTGGAGGAATTAGATTACGTGTGTTTTCTTTTCAGCAGCTTAGAGATAGCTTTTATTCAAAATGGGGTAAAACTGAGGTTGTCTTTCATTTTGGGAATTTCTTTTGTGTTTTGCATGGAAGCAATACTATAAAAATTAAACATTTTCTTTAGGTTTTCATTTTTTTGGTTAATTGGATGCAACTGTGATTCGAGAGCACTACAAAACAACCACTGAAATAAGGTAAATGTTCTCCTTAAAATTTGTTTCAAATAGAAAAATGCATTCCAATAACGTTCCCCCAGCCTGATCAAGAAAGCTCAAACTTCCTGAAACACAAAGTTTTAGTATCTTTCAAAAATAAAACGTGTTCTCATGACAAAAATATGCTTAAGAAACAGTATGTTCTAATCAAAACCATGTTTCATGGGGGAAAACAGTGCTGATTTTAAGAAGCTAGGGGAGTGTGTTAAGGCCTGGGCTGGGAAGCTGTGCTCTCTCCTTACAGCTGAGACCAGGTATGAGCTAGCAAGGGTAGAAGCAGCCCACTGCAGAAGAATATCAGGTCTGATTTTTTTACAATTTTAAAGCAATCCACTGGGACAGGATTAAGCTCCAGAAACTCTAACTTCTTTGGGATAACATCCAGAGGGTGATTTCCTTTTGTTAACTGGTGCATAAAAGAGGAGGAAATCCTAAGACCACCATACAGAAGTGTACCTCAGTGTCCCCGATCTTTGTGGGGATGTTTCTTCCCTGGCCCCCGCGAGTTGTCTCGCTGGCCTGCAGATGGCGAGTTTGCCATTTGGAGACGTGGCTGTTTGCTGACAAGATGAGGAAAAAGCCCTCGTCCTGAAGGGAATCTGAAAAACAAATTCTGTCTGAAGATGACAGCTAACAGTTAACTCTTCACCCTCTCTAACAGCTCTCCCACAATGCTTCCTTTTGTGTGCCTGACCAGCTGTTTACCAGGCATGGGGATGTTGCCCTGAGAGATGGTAATATCAGTACTTCAGCTGATCATTAAACATTACTGTTTGCAATGGAAATGGAGTCCTTCACTACCCTCTTCAGCAGCAGCCACAGTCCACAGCATAAAATCATTAAGACTGCTCTTCCAAGAGGTGAAGTAACAGTATATGATGATCATCCTATAATTTTCTTGTCCCTTCTATGGGCTTTAGTAATACACAGACATGAATTAAAAAAGATACCCATACTGACTGACTCTGAAGGTCCCACAGAATGGTCCAAGACTAAGACTCAAGGAATGACTTACAGCATTACTGATCTCCATGCCACCATGAGTTAAATTCTCCAAAGAGTTAAAAAACATTGAGTCTGAGCCCCGATGAATTATCACATACTTCTAGGAAAATATGTTTTCCATATATGTTTTTCAAAATCCATGTCTGTGATTTGAACTCATCTGGGCTCCTTCACCAATTCACAAAAGAAAAAATATCAATATTTCCCAAAAGTAAAAAGACGTTGAAAAGAGTACTTTTAATAGATACAAGAATACATGTTTTTCCCTGACTGCCCACGTGGAAACTGCTGAGTTCATCCTGTGACACACACATTTCCTATGGCTGGCTTCCCTACTGCTGGCTTTCCTCTCTTCCTTTCCACTTTCCTACTTTTCCCCTTACATTTCCATCTTGTTTAAGGGACACAAAATGAGACTGAAACATGAATCATGAGTTTACAAGAAACACAGAGAACTTGCTCTCTGGGTCAAATTTTCCAGTTAGTTTTCAATAAAGATTTCTGAGTCCTCCCAAGAGCCTCACGAGAAAGAATTTCTTTCCAACATGCAGCTGCTCATTAATTCCTGGGAAAACCCTGAAAACAAACAGAGTAACATAGTAATCTTTCAATTCTAAAGTTTCACTGTTATTAAAAAAAAACCCAAAACAATAAAGAAAACTTAGAAAAAATACCGATTTTGAATGCGCTATTTTGATCAGGTACACAGATGCACACATATACTGCACTCTGGCAGCAAATCTCAAACTTGGTGACAATTTGGTGCTCAAATAACTAAAATATTGGGGGTGAGGGGGATGGGGAGGGGAGGAAAGGGAGATGTTTTCACCCCACCCATTCATCAATTCAATGGGCAGCACCCATTCATCTCTGAATACCTTGGGATTTTTAAGTTTGCTACCACCCCAGCTGCAGGAGGAACCTGGCAGTAAGGAAGGCCGGGTCCTCTGCATAATATAACACACAGCCCTGTTATATTTGCACCAGGGCTGAGCTCTGCCCCCATGATCTTTACAGGCCTCATGACCCGATGAGCTGCATGCTGTAATGCAGCACTGATTTGAAACCTCGTATAAACACCAGCCTACCTTTGCTTGGCCACCACTGTCCCCAGCTTGCACACAGGGAATGGGTGGATTTTGAAAGAACCCGGACATATATGTGAGTGTATTTGCCCGTGGGTTTCCCTCTGCTCTTCCAACATCCAGTGCTGCAGGGCTGCTGCCATGATGGAAGCTGCCTTGGGGACTGCTGCAGGGATGCTCTCTGAGACAGCAAGCAGCTGTGGAGGTGGAAAAGGGTGGAGGTTTCCTACAGGAGAGATGCACAGCAAAGGCTGAGTGGTAACAGAGGAAATCTCGATTTCTGCTCAGAAGAACATGCTGCTGGCAAAGGGCACTGAACACAAACCAACAGCTGAAGGGCTTTGACTAGCTGGAGACCCTGCATTTCGTAGGTTCCGGCTCATTCTTTCCATTTTCTACAGTTGACAAGGTCACAATGGTGTTTTGCTGAGATCAGCAATCAAATCCTCCACAATTCACTTCGAGGCCCTTTCGACATTCATTGATAATGCCTGCACAACGATTTCTTTCCTTGTTATTCTGCTGCAGGCATAGATCAAGGTGCTCTCTTTGAATCCCCACTGCTTGCCATTCAACTTGCATTCCCCAGCCACCATAGTTAGTCAGAAACTTTTCTAATAAAGGCTGCTTTATCATTTATGAATATTATCATTCTGCACTGTGGGTAGATCTATGAGCGAGCAGCTTGCTAATAATAAATACCGATAAGAAAGATGCCCTTGGCAAAGGCACATGAAATATTGACCTGCGATAGCTCCCTTATTCTGAGCCAACTCAGGATGCCCCTCTTACAAATGTGGGTTTGTATGGCAAACATGTTTGCATGTCCCCTGACAGAGATTAGAGTCTCGTTCCGCGTTGTTCTCACCATTTAGTAATGAGGGAGACAAGTTTCTTGGTAGGGATTGTTTTGCTTCCCAAAAATGTTAGAAGGATCACAGAATAGTAATAAAATTAAGGCAATGGGAAAGTCATGGTTTCCATCCATAACATACACACACACAGACACACACAGACACACAGAAGCCAGAATTTTGTAGAAAAGCCATTCATTACAATAAATAGTAAGAACTAAAGGCTGTCAAATTACTCTCTGGACTAATTTCCCAGAGGGAAAGAGAGGTAAAATAAAAGCATAATTAAATTTGATGGAAACAAACAGAATTAATTACTTTTATTACTATTTGCCCAAAACATGCTTCAGTTAAATCCTGAGAGCTGCACACGATGCCGCTGGCTCTAAGAACATGGCTGTCTCTGCTGGCAATCATTAGTGTTGTTGATATGTACAACAAGTCTTCTAAAAATAGCCATGTTCAAATTAGAGCTGCAAAAATCCTGAAGCAGTGAGACTCTGTGGTGTCCTGCCTCATCTCTCCTCACACTCATCAAAGATAGATTTTGTCTCACCTTCTTCTAAACTATTTTTACCCATTTTTAATAGCACAGACCGTCAACTCAATTACTGTACCGAAGTACATATGTTCAGGGAGGAGATCCAAGATACCTTTGGGTTTTACTTTTATTAAAGGTAAGTGCTCAAATGGAAGTGACAAGATAAGCATCTTGTATTTCCTTATTATCAACATTTCCATGCTCACAGCTTTGCTCCTTGCAATCATCTGCTTCAAATTTCTTGAATATCGTTTGATGTTACTCCATTGGTTTTCAAAATTGTTTAGCAAGCAATGTTAGATGCAGGCTGTACCCAGACAGTTGAAGATAGCTTTGTGGGTCAAGGAAGTGCAATTAGCAAAAGCCAATAACTGCATAGGGGGATGTATTTACAAAAGGTACTGAAGGGTGCTAGAGCAGCAAATCAGACCACTGAAAACCTAAGACCAGCCATTGATTCTCATGTGTTACCTAATTGTTTTTTCTTTCCAGAAATCAGTCCACCACAAAGGTCTTTTGTTTCATTGCAAATGACCCTTTTGTGAAGACCCTTGACAGCAACTGTGAGGTTTCTAAGTACTGTTTATTATCACTACATAAGCTTGACTGCAAGGACCAGCATTAACTTTCTCACCTGGGAATATGAATGGTATTGTCAGGGTCACACTATCATTGCTGTGAGAAATACAACACCTTGCTAATCTGGCATTTGTTTCATGCTAGAAACAACAAAGTGAATGCTAACCACCCTCTGTAATAAACACACACATCCATACTCTGAAATACATTCAGTGCAATCAAAAGAGCCACTCGTGTTTTTCCACACAGAGCAAATCCCAGTCATGTTGACAAATACTGAGGTGCATTTTTGAAAGCTGTCTTCTTTTTTTTTTTTTTTTTTTGTCTGAAGCACTGGGTGAATCTGAGGAAGTTCTCAGCAAGGTATCCTTCTTCCTGGTATATGACCATTTGATTCTCAGCTTGCAAGCAGGTGCTAGAGTTGCAACTCAGCTGTGAGGTATATTTGATCCTGTGATGTGCAGGGGGGAAATTCTGAGGTGTTCTGTACAATATCCAACACACCAGCAGGTTTTTTTCTACTGGATGGAAGGCTGAACTTACTTTTGTTCTACTTGCAGCTCCTTCTGTTTACTTTCCCAGACTATTCAACTGTGGAGTAAAACTATGGCTATACTTTCACATTTATGATCTGGCCTGCTTTAACATATAGCTCCCACCTCTATACTTTTGTAACACAAGCAAAGACATGAAAGAGACAGAAGAGCCACATGTAATATATGTTGTGAGAGCCAGCTGGTTCCTTCAAGCAGAGACTGGATACTTCTGGCTAGGAGGAGTGCTAGAGCTTCCCAGCATTGTTTCTTCTGGCTCAGCAACTCTCTGTTGAGCCTTGGAAGGTTCCAAGACTTGGGTTTGTTTTAGAGCTGGGCACTGGAGCTGGAGAGAGAAATCACCTTTTTTTCTAGGTGAAGGCCTGAGTGACAGTTTTTCACACCGAGGAGATCACCTCTTCTTGAGTGATTCATACATTCCCTCTGATCCTTCACTGCCACAGCTGCTTGAACCCCAGGGACTAAGATAGGCTGAAACAAAGAACGGAAAATTATTAGGAGAGTCATGACAAACACTAAGCTCCTTCCCTCCTCCATCCCAGTGACTTCTGTGGCATCAAATCTGAGCTTTCTTTGCTGAAAGGTGTTTCATTTACACAAAGTAATCTGTTGCACACATATGAAGAAATGTTAAATTCTCAAAATCTAATTCTCAGCAAATTTTGTACAGGGCACTTCTGCTGCCATCAAAATACAAAAACCTGTGTCTGAGAGAGATTTCTAGAACAGCATATTCAAGAGAATTGCAGCTGGAATTACTTATAGAGTCATTCTTTGGAATGTTAAATGGTGTCATCATATGTAGATATCATGGGCTAAACCATAACTGAGTGGGGCAGAGAATCAGGGCCCCTACAAGGCATGTCCACAGCAGGCAAACTGTAATGTTAATTCTAAGTACTATTTAATGCGTTTTGGTGAGTTGAGTTGCATTTACATGTGGATTATGACTACAGTCCATTTTTCATCAACGATTTTCCACCAACGTCAAATAAGACAATGATTGAACTTTTGCAACCATATGAAAAAAATTACTTTGCACAGATCAGGAAAGATAATAATTATCATAAAGCTTATTCGACTGTGGAAATTTAGCAATTGCTCATGGAGGACTGGCAGTGACAAGATATCATGTAAAAGGAGATTATTATAAAAATGATACAATTGGATTGTCTGAGAAGATAATTCATGGAAAATATGTTGTGGAAAAATGAGAAAACACAGAAATAGAAAGTACCTGTTGCACAAATGTAGAACACCATCTCACCCAGTGACTGCTATGGCTCAATGAATAATTACAGCATATTAAGTTCTATGGTTTTCTTAAATTCATACACAGCGAAAATAAAATTTCTCAGCTGAAAAAAAACAAGCTGGTGTATTGCTGACAACTGAGCTACACTTTAAATGGAAAAAAGAATCAAACAGCTGGCAGAGAACATACTATTTTTGTAACTAATTATGCAGCAAACCATGGAAATACCAAAATGTTAGTTTTCACTGTTACACTTCCCTCTAGAATTTGATTACTTTGAGATAAGAAAGAACAGTGACAGCAGTACCTGAAATAAGAAAAAAAGACATTTAAATTAAATTATTTCAATTTTGACAATGTATTTGTTAGTGATAGTATTTAGGGGACATTCATCTATGAATGAAAACAAAATGAGAATGATATTTTTCTTCTAGTATTAGTCATATTATATAATCTGTAACCTGACAAAATAAGCCAGAAGGAAGGCATAATTTGATCCTAGATGTTGCAATCAAAGTTTCTTACCTCTCAAAGGAATTTAAAAACACGATACTTCAGCTGATATCTTGATCCCATGTAAATACTGAGGCATGTCTGTACTGATGGCTGTTGCTATAACCTTGCAATTCCAAGAAGCTTCAGCTGCTATTGCTGTCAAACCCAGTTTTAGGGTTTCACAAATCTTCTTATTTTTCTTTCAGCCTGTGAGTTAGAAAAATGTGTAGGGAATAAATATGTAGAAAGCTACAGTGAAGAACAACCTCCTTGGGACCACACTACATTTGCAGAGTTCAGCATTCCAAAGCTGAGAATGTATAGAAAGGGAATTTGCTGATCTGACTTAAACTCAGAAATCCTGTATGTATGCATTATAAATAGCATTTAATTATATAAACTTTAAATCTGTGCTCCTAGAAAAGTCCTGCCTTATTCCATGAGGAAAATGGATGTCTATTCCTGATTGGGTAGCTAAAACTTCTTCTTACACCAAACCATGTTGTTACTGTCAGGATTTTTTTTCCCTTAATGCATGATTTTTAGAGAAGCCCTGCATAGAGACGATTAAGTGAAACAGATAATGTTCTTTAAAACAAACACTATGTATTTACATGCAATTATTGTATTTAAATACCTGTAATCATAACTCTGCCTGTTCTTTACAGAACCAGATACTGCTTAAGACAACTGAAATGAGACTCCTTGCAGGAGTCCTAATGCAGAGGCAATTGAAGGCCAGGAGAAGGTTTGCATTCACTTTTATCAACTATGACCAAATGTGAAATCGTAGTAGACAGCCAGAGAACCCTAGCCAGGTTAAATCCTGTCTCTAAACAGTAGATCTTGGAGCTATCAAATTTGCTAGGCTTGATACTTTCACAACTAGGGATAAGAAAGGAAAAGGGGATGGGACAAGTAAGGAGTTAATAATCTCCAATCTTGTCTGTCTTTTCTCCCTAGGAAATTTCAAAGTTCAGTTGTAAGCCTTGTACTCCTGCAGCCAGGAAGGTAAACATCATCAGCATGATATAAAGGGCTTTCAGCATACCCCTCATGATCATTCAAGTAGATAAGGAGAAAAGAAAACAAACAGAACAAAGCCATCTAGAAAATACTTAGTTTTGTCAGTTGAAAAAATAAATATGTTTTACAGAGTTGCAGCCTGACCTCAGCTAGATTCATCGAGTCACTATGAACCGCAGAACCTGGTCTACTCAGTTCCACACAGTTTGGTTACCAGTCTGTGATAGCTACTGACCTTTTCCTAAGGACACCCTTGTCCCTGTCCTAGGAACCCTTGCTGCTAATAATGTTCAAGTATTTTTTTCATATCACTTTTGGCATACAATTTTGCCATGTTTTTCACACCGAGGGCACTACCATGTCATTTCTCTGTCCCTGCTGTTTCCAGTATTGTCACTTGCAGCCTTGAGCCTTCTTTCCTGACGCAGCTGGAGGATGGCAGCCGAGTGCAAAAACCTTTCTGCAGAGATTTCCATGGGTAATGCTGATTCTCCAGGCAGCTGCAGTGGTATGCAGCAAGCTTTAGTGCTCCTTTTTATAGATGCTCATGTCACTATGCTTTGACTCCCAGGGCCACAGTCATACCAAGGATAATCAAAATACTGTCAGTTCCCAGACTACACATGGATTCGTGACTAGTCCTAACACCTAGTAACCTTAATAGACATGAAGCTGTGAAGCCTTTGGGGAATATTGGAATCTACCTTTTTAAAATACATTTCTGTCCTTGCTATGCAGTCTGTTCTAAAGTTCAGTGACTGCTGTTGGAACAATTCACATGAGCAGGTCTAATCAGGCCTGCAGACTACAATTATGTAAGCATGGTGCAATTTTCTGGGACAAAAATATGGAGCAAGTTCAGCATTTCATTACATTTTGTTATGGATTGAGAGCCTCAATCCATACATAAGAGAAGGTTGACTAAACCAGGTAGGTAGCTGGTTGTAACAGGAACCAAATGTGTCTGGGTGTGATAGTGGCATTCCTTATCCTTATTAGCTGGATGAATTGTCTAGTCAGAATATAGAATATTATATATATATGTGTATGTATATACGTATGATATTTACATACACATGCGCGTGCACACACACACACATATATACATATACATATACATATACATATACATATATATGTTTACTTCTTACTGCATATCCTATACTGCCAAATCCACCTAATCTAAACTGTTTTCCCCAGCTATGAAGCAGCAGATCTATTTCAGGTCATGGGAGAGTAGAGCTCTAACAAAGCAGTGTATACTTGTGTGGTGTGGCTTATTAAGAGGAGACACAAAGATGAGTGGCTGTATGGCAAATCACATGAGCAAGGGAAGCCACATATCCCTCACTTAGGATACTACAACACCCAGTCAGTAGCCAGAATTATCTTTTTATCTCTTCTCCAATGCTGCTGCATTCGTGTTTTCTAAACAGTGGCTATTAACCATTTTGTGAGTAGTTAAGGGGTTTTTTTAAACTTAGTGTCTGGAAAAGCAGAGCTGCTACCTTTGCTGGAAATGGTGTTTTTCATTGGTATCTCTTAATTAACAGATTCACTCCTGCTGTTTTAAAAATATTAGGCACAATACATCCACATACACCTTATCCTTTCTCAGTCCTATAGCAGAATCTATAAAGAATCCTTATGGCCCCCCTAGGCAGTCGAAGAAATACTTTCAGGCACAAATATTATTGAGGATTTTCTCCTAATGCACCTTCCCCACTTGTGGCCTAAAAGTAACAACTGCTGTGGGCTAGTATGTAAGAAGCTGGACTACATTTCATCACTGATGATACATCAAGCATAGGTGTCATAGAACACATCTCACAGCCCTGGGAAGTGTGAAGACACTTCAGACTAAATCCTGATAAGGCTGAAAATCTTCCTGGTATTGTTATTTATAAACTGCTCTGCAAACACAAAAAGGGAAGCCTTGCTTATTAAAATATAGGGTATGAGATAAGCAAAGCTTTGAATGCCTCAGCCCATGAAACACACTCTGCTGTCTTCATCTGCCTTTGCAAGGAATACATTTAAATGCCTAGGGAAGTCACTATTTTAAGGACTCACTCTGGCAGCAACAGGATGGGAATTTCTACCAAAGACTTTCACCATAACATAAAAACTTCAGGGATAAGGTTCAGATGCAAAAAGGAGGTGGGGTGGTAAGGGAAAAGTTATATAAAGTAGTTTCCTTTGCACCAGGTGGCAGGTAGGAAGGCTGTGAGCTTCACTGGTCTGAACGTCAACTAAGTCTGCCCTCTCGCAGTCTGCCACTGTCACCAGCTCCTTCAGAAGTACCAGATGAAAAGTAAACAGTATCCTTTTCTGCTGATCACAACACCAAGCACATGCAGTTTTCAGATTCAAGGGTTTATGCATTAGTTTCTTTGAATGCCTTTGAAAGCAACATGATATCATCTGCCCAGACTAGAGCAGCATTGATACCCTGTGAAGGACAACAAAGGTATTATCTCTTGCCAGACAGTGGGCTGGCTCATATTATCAGAGAAAATCTGGGGATCCAATTATTGTGCTGAAATTTAAGAATTATTTCTATTAATTGATTAATATTCTAAGTATTCTTAATGGGAGCCTTTGTGTGTAAAAGGCAAGAATCTGAGTGAACCACCCAGTTGTTCTGTTAGTATTAGAGCAACAGAAACTGTATATAACATCTGAGGCTTGCTGACAGTGAAAATGCACTGTGGTATACACAAGGCTTCCCTTGATGCACTGCAGATGTACTCTTAATTAATCACAGAAACAATGTGCTGTTTGCAGGGAACTTTTGATGGATCCATTTTAAAAGGAACATGCAGAAAAGAGCTTGACTTTGTCAGGTAAAGTATAACCCTGTTACTAAACAAGCCTGTGGCTTCAGGATTTGTGGGAGAAGAGGATATTCTGGTTAACTGAGGCTTCCTTTTTCTCTTCTCTGGGACAGCATTGCCTCCTATTCACACCTCTGCCAAGGATTTTCTATGAGACTGTGACCAGCTCACTGGGGCAGAGCTGTGTGCAGAGCCTGCCTCTGCCTACGCTCCACCAAGGCAACGCTGGCGGCAAGTCAAGCACAGGCTTGGCACAGGCACCGGCCAGCTCTCCCTGGGCTGGTTTGTAATCAGTTTCCAGTTCTGCCAGTACCCGAGAGTGTTTGTGATGCCACACAGTAATTTGAGCAGGATCACACTCCTGCAGGAGAAGCCCTATCCCTGCTGAAGCACAGAATTTTCCCACAAATAAAGGTAATAATTACGTTTTGCTGAACAACCACGAACTTTTACAGCACTGCAATGGCAGTTGAACCAAGTACAAATCTCTATATTTTTTTCCCTGCCATTAGAGTCAAGCTACTTTTACATTTCTGAGTGGGTGATTGCCTTTGATCCCACAGAGAGAAGGTAGCTTTCTCGACAAGTGTGCTGAAACAACTGTTGATCTCCCTTGTGAAATCCCATCTGTTGTCTTCAGCAACTCTTACTTGCTGGCTGAACAAGATAATGTTTCTCCAGCAGTAGCTGTAATTTTCCAAGCACTTCGCTGAGTGCAAAGTCAAGACTTGATTCAGAAAGGACAAGCAGGGATATAATTTTGCTCTCTCCCTGCTGTTTCACAGCGTGTTATGAATTAAGCTGCTGGCAGTCAGGTAGGGCAGAGTCCTTGTGGGTTTCGGGCTTGGTTCAACACCTCTGAAGATAAGAGCAGCGTGCTAATTTTAGAGCTGGGTTCTAGAAATGGGGAAGCCAATTTTTGGGTACAATTTTTTTTGTAGTAGAATTTTCTGTATTATCACTCCACATTTTTGACAACCTGCCATTTATTATTTAAATCATATTCATGTGAATGTTAGTTTATGGTGGAAACTGATCAGCAGAAGCTAATGTTGGTAACACTTCAGTTTGTTAGAAAAGGGTTCTTCACCCAGAGGGTGGTATGGCACAGGAACTGAATCCCCAGGGAAGTGGTCACAGCACCAAGCCTGATAGCCTTCAAGAAGTGATTGGATGATACTCTCAGGCACATGATGGGCTAGGGCTGTCCTGTGCAGGACCAGGAGTTTTACTTCAGTGATCCTTGTGGGTCCCTTCCAAATCAGAATATTCTGCGATTCTGTATAATACAGCACGGACTTAATAAATAAAGGAAATTAAAAGGAAGACTGTGATGATTTGG